CTTCACAAGCTTGAATTCTGCTGGCAGGGGAGTTGCAATCTTGCGCTCATTCTCAATCCCATACTTCTCCCCCAGCTCCTTGATGAACTTATCCTGGTGCAGCTTCAACCACCTGTGATCTGGATCCCTCTCCACGTGCATCCCGAGGTAGTACTTTACCTCCCCAAGGTTCTTGCACTTGAAGTTCTCCATCAGCTGCTGCTGCACTTTCTGGATCTCCTTCATGCTACTGCTGAAGAGAAGAATGTCGTCCACGTAGACCAGAAACATCACCAGCTTCTCCTTCTCCCTCTTGAGAAAGAGGCTCTCATCGCAGCTGCTGGTCCTGAATCCCATCTCCTCTAAAACAGCTGCCAACTTCTGGTACCAGCAGCGTGGCGCTTGCTTCAATCTGTAGATGGACCTTTCCAGCTTGCACACCCTTCCCGTACCATCCTCATACCTAGGCGGCTGCGTCATGTACACATCCTCCTCTAAAATACCATTGAGGAATGCCGTTGATATATCCATCTGAATGATGAATTTCCCACTAACGGCTGCATCCGCCAACAAGACACGGAGGGTAGGGGGTTTGGCAGTGGGAGCAAAGATCTCATTGAAGTCCTGCTTCTCCTTCTGCATAAACCCGTTAGCCACCAGCCTACTCTTGTAGATGGTGACCTGTCCCTTGTCATCGGTCTTGATCCTTAGCACCCACTTGCACTGTACGCCATTCTTCCCCTCAGGTAGCACCACTAGATCCCATGTCCCATTTTCTAGCAGGCTATGGTACTCAGCATCCCTGGAAACCAGCCACTTCTCCCTATCTGGTCCACCTAATGCCTCCTCCATGCTAGCTGGTTCCTCTAGTGCAGGGGCAAGAAAACAGTAGGCAGGTTCATCCTCCTCATCCGGGTCATAGCCATGCGGTAGAATCAGCAATGCCTCCTCATTCCCAAGCTGCTGCTCTGCTACATCAGCTCCTGCAGTCAGCTTCATAGTGGCCATACGGGTACGTCCTGGCATAGACACGGGTGTCTCCCATTCCTTCATAACGACACCCTTCAGCTTCCTCCTTTGTGGTAGCTTAGGCACCTTAGCTTTGCCCTTCTGTTCTTCTCCTCCCTCAGATCCAGCAGCTTCCCTGGTGCTTTTACAAGTCTCCACATCATCTCCTCCACCAGCAGGTGCCTCCTGCACCTTCTCTCCATCACCACCCTCTGCAGCTGCCTCCTCTCCCTCCTCCCACACACTAGGAGTCAGGACCAGCTGCATGGTGATCTGCTCCATCTGCTGGGATACCCTGGCCTCCGGCTGTTTCTCCCAGCTCCCATACATCATGCCCTCAACAAACTTCACATCCCTGCTGTCAAACAACACACCCTTGGATGGTTCCCACAGCAGCCATCCCTTGCTCTCAGCAGCCAGCCCCAAATGCACACACCAGATTACACTTGCCCCCAACTTACTTCGATAGACTTTGGGGACGTGTGCGACTGCCATGCAACCGAACACTCTCAGCATGTCCACCGGCGGCTTCCACCCAAGCCACCTCTCCAACGGCACCCACGAGTCATCACCAACCTTAGTGAGCACCCTGTTCCTAGCCACGGTTGGGTGCCGGACAGCATGGGGCCACATGGAATTGCCCACCCTTGATTCTATGAGCAGCGTCCTAGCTGTCTCCAGAATGGTCCGGTTCGCCCGTTCTGCTACACCGTTGGACTGTGGGGTGTAAGCCGTGGTCAGCTCCCTCTGAATGCCTTGCTTCTTAAGCCAGGCCGTCATCTCAGCTCCAAGGAACTCACCATCCCGGTCTGTCCTAATCCGCTTCACCACACACTCCGCTTGCTTCTCAACGAACGGCAGCCAATCTTCCCGTATCGTAGAGGCGGCGGGGTCCTTTTGCTTCAGCGGATATGCTCACATCATCCACTCTGGTCAGGAAGTACCGCTCCCCCTTGTGTCCCTGAAAAAACTTTCTTCTTCTTCTTCTTCTTCTTTTGTTTGTTTGTTTTTTGCTCTCCTCGTGAAAGAGCGCGTGAGAGAGCGCGTGACAGTGCGTGACAGTGCGTGTTAGAGCCCGTGAGAGCGAGCGCGCCTGAGAGAGCGTGCGAGGGAGCGCGTAAGTGAGAGTGCGCGTGAGAGTGCGAATGAGAGATTGCGTGAGAGAGCGCGTGAGGGAGCGCGTGAGAGTGTGTGAGAGAGTGCGCGAGAGAGTGCGCGAGAGAGTGCACGAGAGAGCGCGTGAGAGTGCGCAAGAGAGAGCGCGCAAGAGTGTGTGCAAAAGAGCGCGTGGGAGAGTGCGCGCGATAGAGCGCACGAGTTTGCGCATGAGGGAGCGCGTGAGAGAACGTGGGAGTTTGCGCGTGAATTTCTGTTGCGCTTACTTTGTTTTTTAGTGCATCAAGGAAGCTGAATTCTCTGATTTTGTTTTCTTGTGCTATTAATGCAAGTTGTATTCTCTGATTTTGTTATTGTTTGTGCAGGGAGTGAGTTGCATTCCCTGATTTTTCTTTCCTGTGCAGGGAGTTCAAGCTGCAGCCTTTGTTTCTTGCGGAGAAAAGGGATGGGGAGAAGGGAGATGAGGGAAATGAGGGAGGGAGGGAGGGGAACGGGGGACAGGATAGTGATAATTTATACAAGGCTGAAATTCATTCATTATGCTTGCATGCTTATTACAGTAGCTGTATGTTTTTGCGTTGTGTCTCTGTATATGTGTGAGCCTGTATGTGTGTGAGTGCGTACATGTGCATATGTGTGTTGTGCGTGCTTCAGGGTATGGTGCTAAGTGCCTCCTGAATGCAACTCGGATTGTGATCGTCGGTGGGGCAGCTTTGCTAGCCTCTTCCGTACCATATCAATCTCAGTTGCAGCAGTGATGCATTTAGCATTCGCTTTGAAACTTTCTTAAACGTTGTCTTGCGTTTTAGTAATCATTTATGTGTTATCGTCTGTGCTTGTTTTGGGGGTGTGGTGCTAAGTGTCTTGTGTATGCAACTGGGATTGTGATCGTCGGTGGGGCAGCTTTGCTCGCCTCTTCCGTACCATATCAGTCTCAGTTGTTGCATAGATGCATTTAGTATTCCCTTCAAAACATGTAAGACGGTTCTTGTATACCATCGTTTTTGTAGTCATTTGTGTATGTCTGTCTCTCGGTGGTACTGTTGTATTTTTTGTCTTGTCCTTTGTGTTCCTGTGTCATTGGGTACCGTATCATCTTTAGTGCTAAAACGATTCTCCAATTGTTCCATTCGCCGTAGTTATCGACGATTATGGAATGATTGGAAACATTTGTTTTCATTTTTTTGGGGAAGCTATATGAACAGTGATTTCTTTCAAATTTTATAAAAGAAATTCACTGTTCATATCAGCCAACCGAAAAGTGAAAACGAATGTATAAGGTTGTTACGCAACCCAATCATTGGGTACCGTATCATCTTTAGTGCTAAAACGATTCTCCAATTGTTCCATTCGCCGTAGTTATCGACGATTATGGAATGATTGGAAACATTTGTTTTCATTTTTTTGGGGAAGCTATGTGAACAGTGATTTCTTTCAAATTTTATAAAAGAAATTCACTGTTCATATCAGCCAACCGAAAAGTGAAAACGAATGTATAAGGTTGCTACGCAACCCAAAAAAACGCGTACGGTCACTGTATCGGATTTTCTGACGGGTTTGGTAAGCGGGGTCACGGATTCAGTCACTAACAACAGGTAAAAAATCACGCGAATGGTCACACATGTAACTCCCGCCAAAAAAACTTGAAACTCAACAAAATTCCCGCTCGCGCCCAACCAATCTACGAACTTGTAAAAAAATTAAAACCCAATCGGAATCGGATGCGGTTTGGGAACGGATCAACCCTAAACACCTGGCGAGTTACGTGTTTAGGTTTGATCATCCGAAAATGCATCCAGGTTCTTTATAGGTTTCATTTTGTTTTGGCGGGAGTTTCATCTGTGACCATTCGCGTTTTTTTTTACCAGCTGATTGTGACTGATTTCGTGAAACGCTTTATCAGTCGCGTGAAAACACCCTTTGCAGTGACCGTACCCTTTTTTTTTTTTTTTACCAAAAATGTTTTCGAGTCCCATGATGGTTACGAACGGCATATTTTCCCTTCGATCTTTGTAAGAACTGAAAGTCTGGGACGAACCAAACCATGCGAGCCATAACGTTCCTCTGGTGCCCGGCTCGGGAGCAGTCCATCTTCCCAACCAATCACAAAGCCAACCTCGATTATTTCATTTTTGCCGTGCCTCAAATTTGGAGGACACAAATGATTTCCCCCCACCACCTAAACTCCCTCGAGTCTTCCTCAACCTCCCTCTTCCCCAACCTTCCTCCTTTCTCCCCTCCCCTCCCTCCTCTCTCCCCTCCCCCCATCCCCATCACCACTCCCTCTACTTCCATCCGTTGTTGCTGCACATTCCACTCCACGCAAGGTAGTGTATTCAAGAGGTTGCATGGCTTCTGCTTTGGATGCGACGATTTGAGTCTCGATCGCCTGCCGTTGCCTGCTTCCTGACCGAGAAGTGGCTACAGCTTCTCGGTTTCAGGGCAGTACCTAGGTTTGATAACGATTGCCTTCTCCTAGACGGCTTAATTAAGATGAATTTGACGACCTGTAAAGGTTAGAATATTGCCATTTCGAACTTCGACGATCGTCGTTGGTCATCGTCTCGCCAGGAGCCATGAATTTCCTTCATCGATCACTCTCGGCGGTTATGAATCGTGCTCAAAATCGTCGTCTCCGAACAACCACCTGTTTTACGCCACTTGCATTCCTACTTTTCTTAGTCGTTCTACAACCTAGCGCAGCTACAGCCAATAAACCGGCCAGCAATGTTTCCCCAGGGATTGGCCGGTCGATCCTGGAAGTCAGTGGGACTGAATCTGACAGCATCACCAAGCGAAACCTTCCTTTTATTGCGGAAATGAACTATGGCTACTTCAAGCCGTCTTTCACACGAATCTCTGCATCCCCTGCACGGCGAAATCTGGTCGAAGCGCGGATGTGGCTTTACGGTCACGTGCTGACACAAGGGTAAGTCCTTCGTCGTCTTTGCCGCTCATGTTCGGCCGCCGAAGACACGAACGTACATCCCGCGTCTTTGTTTTTTTTCACGAATCAAGGACATCCGATGCATGGTTGACCCACAACCCACGCTGGGTTGTCCTTCCATAGCGAATTCTCATTGCAACGCGTGTCCAATTTTTCCTCCTTCCGCCGTGTTTTTTCTTCCTCCTTTTCACGTTCTAATCTCGCATCTCCACGGCTCGGTTTACAGCTACTATTACGCTAACCTGTGGTTCGGCACGCCCGGGCGTCGCTTCGCGGTGATCGTGGATACGGGCAGCACCGTTACCTACGTGCCGTGTGCCTCGTGCAGCGAGTGCGGTAGCCACCACCAGGTATTGATAATCCTCATAACTCGGTTTTGGAATTCAGGGTTGTGGTTATGATGCCAAGGGTCGCAAATCGGGTCAAGTAACTGAACCTGAGAGGTTGCGTTCAGATCTGATATCCGGAAATGTCAACAGAAACCCTGAGTCCCTTTTTCGCGCTGCCCTTCCTTTCCTGGTTTTGTCACTTCTCCTCTAATTTCTCCTCCTCTTGCCGTTCGTTGTTCTCGAATGACCTTCTACCAATAGCTCCCCCTTCACCGGCCACTTAGTTCCGTCCCTGTTGGGCCTGATGATAATATGATGATCACAGGTTCTGTGTTCTGGAACCACAGACATGGAATCTCCCTTCGTCCCATGTTCCCTTCGTTCCCTCCTCCCCCCAACTCCCGCCTCCTCCCTCCCGCACGCCCCCCCCGTCCAACCACTCTCCACCTCCCTCCACCGCGACCCGCAGGACCTGCCGTTCGATCCGCAGCAATCGTCGACGTACCAGTTCGTACCGTGCTCGTCGGATCAGTGCCCGTACCACGACTGCCAGGACAACTCAGACGAGTGCTCGTACGACCGGCACTACGCGGAGAACAGCAGCAGCAGCGGGCTAATCGTCTCAGACGTCGTCACCTTCGGAAACGCGTCCACGCTTCCGCCTGCGCGGATCCTCTTTGGGTGTGAGCTGGCCGAAACGGGCGACATTTACACGCAGAAGGCGGATGGGATTATGGGCATGGGGCGCGGGGAGCTTGGGATTGTGAGCCAACTGTCGGTGGGAGCGGGGAAGGTTATGGACGAGCAATTTTCGCTGTGTTATGGCGGGTCGGAGGGCGGCGGCGGGGCGATGATCATGGGGGTGATTCAGCCGCCTGCTGGGATGAAGTTTACCCGGATGGATATGCGCAGGTGGGTGTGGGTGGTGCTTGATTGTGTCTGGTTTTCTGTTTTTCTCGGATTTTCCCCTTTTTCTCATCCTCACCCTTATCCTCTCCCTTTCCCTCACCCTTATCCTCACACTCACCTCACCCCCACCCTCACCCTCCCCTCCCCCCGCTCTCCCTCTCCGTCGTGTGTTTCATCCCCACAAAACACGAGACGTTAGGGACGAGTGAATTTGACGCTAGTAGCGAACAAGTGGGGCTGAAGGGCCTAGATATACTTTCCATACTCCTGTCCCATATCCCCTCCTCCCATTCCCCCTCTTCCTACCGACCCCTCCCCCTCCGCCCCTTCCCTCCCTCTCACCTCCGTACTGCAGTGACAGCACCAATCAAGGAGCTGAATCTCCCACGCATTCACTCCCCACTCCCGTCCCGTATCCCTCTTCCTCCCCCTTGTCCCCCTGTACCGCAGTGGTCCCACCTACTACAACGTGATTCTGAAGGCCATCAATCACGATTCAAGATGGACGGCAAGCCTCTTGATTCGACTCAAAAAATTAGCCTCCCCCTCTCCCTCCCCCCTGCACCGCAGTGGCGGCACGTACTACAACGTGATTCCCAACGCCATCACGGTGGCCGGCAAGCATCTTCTAAGGCACCGCAAAAGCCTTTCCCCCCTCGTCCGACGCACCCCTCCCCCCTGCACCGCAGTGGCGGCACGTACTACAACGTGATTTTGAACGCCATCACAGTGGCCGACAAGCCCTTTAAGAGGCGCCTCGAAACCTTTCCCCCTCTCCTTCCTGCATTGCAGTGGCGGCACGTACTACAACGTGATTCTGAACGCCATCACGGTGGCTGGCAAGCCGCTGCCTCTGGACATGTCGGTGTTCCGGTCGGGGTACGGGGTGGTCATGGACAGCGGTACCACCTTCTCCTACCTCCCCCGCAAGGCCTTTGAGGCCTTCAAAGCCGCTGTGAGTCCAGGCACCCTGTTGAAATGGGTTGAGATGGGATGCAACGTGGTTGTGAGGAGCATCACGGTCGGGGTACGGTGTGGTCATGGACAGCGGCACCACCTTCTCCTACCTCCCCCGCAAGGCCTTTGAGGCATTTAAAGCTGCTGTGAGTGCAAGCACCGGGGTGAAGTGGGCTGAGGTGCTTTGAAATGTGTGAGATAGGTTTGAGATGGGCTGGGCTGGACCGGGCTGGGCTGGGCTGGGCTGGGGTGGGCAGAAAGGGTGCAAGTGTGAGAAGGCGATGTAGTAGGTGGTTGGTATGCATGTTGGGATGCAATGCGATTCTGAGCAGCATCACGGTCGGGTACGGCGTGGTGATGGACAGTGGCACCACCTTCTCCTACCTCCCCCGCAAGGCCTTTGAAGCCTTCAAAGCCGCTGTGAGTGCAAGATCTGGCTTGCTGGTTGAGAGATGGAGTGAGATGGGTTGAGATGGCGTGAGATGGGTTGAGATGAGCTGGGCTGGGCAGGAGTGTGACTTAGTAGGTAGCTGGTACGCATGTGTTTCTCTGGGGCATGCTGCGGTTTTCGTTTTTTGTCTCCTGCTTTCAAGTACCATAACATTGGTGCTGTTCCTTTCGGCGTGTGTGTGTGTGTGTGTGTGTGTGTGTGTGTGTGTGTGTGTGTGTGCGTGTGTGTGTGCGTGCGTGCGTGCGTGCGTGCGTGCGTGTGTGTGTGTGTGTTGCAGGTGGATGCATCAGTGACGGGCGTGCAGAGCGTTCCCGGTGCAGATTCAGTGTATCAGGACGTGTGCTACGGCGGCGCCTCCAAGTAAGTCGTGCCTTACGAGTCTCCTTCCCCTCCTTCCGTCCCCATCCCCTTCTCATTCCAAACCCTACCCACCCCCCTGTGGCCCCACCTTTGTTTCTGCTAATTTTCATGTGATCCGTGTATTGATGGAGAGAGCAGGGTGTAAACCGGGTGAGGCAAACACACAGGCACACACGTGGCCACACACACATAGACATGCCCTTACCCACGCATGTGCCTACACACACACACACACACACACACACACACGCACACACACACACACACTCACACGCACTCACATGCACACCTGTGAATCCTGACCCCCGCCCGCCCGCCCCTCCTTCTGCCGTCCTGCCTACCTGCCCGCCCGCCTGCCTGCCCACGTGTGTGTGTGCCCGTGAACCCCGTGCCCACGCTCCCAACAGCAAGATAGAGGAGCTCTCCAATTACTTCCCCACCGTGAGTCGACTCAAAAGCCATCTCTCACCTTCCTACGTGTGTGTGTGTGTGTGTGTGTGTGTGTGTGTGTGTGTGTGTGTGTGTGTGTGTCCCCACAATCCCTGTGTGCATGTGTGTGCCCGCCATCCCTGTGTGCCCACGCCCCCAACAGCAAGATAGAGGAGCTCTCCAACTACTTCCCCACCGTCTCCCTCACCTTTGATGGCGACTTGGTCTACGAGCTCACGCCCGAGAACTACCTCTTCCGAGTGCGTACATGCACCCCTTGTATGCGTGACATGCATTTGTTGTACCTTGGAACGTTTTCAGTTGTTTTTCAGTCCGGTTCTGAGGAGACGGCTCCTGAAGGGTTTTGATCGCTGTCGAGTGCATTCTTTGAAATATCTTGTTCTTTCCCTGCTCTGCTTGCCTGTCCGCCTGCGCTCCCCTCCACCTGCACTGCAGCATGTGAAGGTGCCAGGATCCTACTGCCTAGGCCTGTTCAAGAACAACGACAGGGGAACGCTCATTGGAGGTAGGTCGGATTTTAGAATTCTCAGAAACTCCCATTGGAGGTCGGTTTGTTCTCATCTCAGGTCGGTTTGTCAATCCATTTCCTCCTGTTCCCCACTCTCCTCCCACTCCCCAGACCCCCACATGCGTTCCCTTCCAATTCCTCTCCCCACAGTAGAAAGTCCAAAGTTTTCTTTTCGTACGTTTGTTCGCTAACTGCGGTTTATACGGGAGGGGTGCTTCTTAACACTGCCTTCCCCCTACGCTTTCCTTTTGCCCTTCGTCTCCCCACCCCGCTTCCCCCCCTTCCATCTTCCCTTTCCCCCTCTCCCAGGGATTATCATGCGCAACACACTGGTGACATACGACCGAATGAAGAGCCGCATAGGCATGCTTAAGACCAACTGCCGAAACCTATACCAGGAGCTACAGCAGATATACACAGAGCAAGGGGCCAATCCCGCCCCTCTCCCCGAGTATCTTCTATCTGAACCGCCCCCCTTGCCGGATTCTGCCCATCAAGGGGCTGGGAGGGGTGGAGATGGTGGGAGTGGAGGGGCAGAGGAAGGCGAGGGGGGTGGAGGAGGGGAGGAGGAGGGAGGAGGAGCGGGTGGGGAGGATGAGGATGCGGATGCAGGTGCGGGTACAGGTGGTGGTGATGGTGGAGATAATGGTGGGGGCAGTTCGTCTGAAGGTGCTCCTGCAGCGCCGTCTGTTGCTTGTGAGTCTCAGTGGGATGTGCATGGACATGGGGGTGGGGATGGGGATGGGGATGGGGATGGGGGGGGTGTGGGGGGGGTATGGGGGGATTGGGGTGACGATGGAGATGGGTTCAGAACGGTCCAGTTGTGCTAAGCATGGGATTATGATAGGAGCTCTTCCTAATCTTTTAGATGAATATGCAGCGACCCTCCACCTGGTTTCGCTAAGCTCTGCTGCCCTGTATACCAGTCCCCCCCCTGTACCCGCTCTGTACTCGCCCTCAACCTCCCACTTCCCCAACTGTCCCTCTCTACCACCCCTATCGCCCTGTTGGCCCTGCAGCGTCGTGTGACGGCTGTGCAGGCAGCATTGTAACGGATCTGCTGGTGGGGCTGCTGCTGCTGCTGGGCTCTTCCCGTTACCCTCCCCTCTCGCACCTGTCCCCACGACCCCTATCGCCCTGTCGGCCCTGCAGCGCCGTGTGACGGATGTGCAGGAAACATTATGGCGGATCTGCTGGCGGGGCTGCCGCTGCTGCTCTCGCCCTTACCCCCCCTCCCCCACCTGTACCTCCCTACCTGCAGCATCGTGTGATGGCTGCGCGGGCAGCATTGTGGCGGACCTGCTGGTGGGGCTGCCGCTGCTGCGCTTTGCCCCGCTCGTCAACCCCTTCGTGCACGACCTCTCACGGGAACTAGGACTGCTGGAAGCTCAGGTACGTTTCTCTTCTAGTATACCTAGCCAAAATTCATGTCATGCCACTCAGCAACCCCTTAGTGCGCGGCACTTGGTGCGAACTCGGACTGCTGGAAGCTCAGGTAAGTTTCTCCTCTAGTACACTAAAAAGTCGATGTCATGCCGCTCGTCAATCCCGTCGTGCATGACCTCTCGCGGGAATCAGAGCTGCTGGAGGCGCAGGTACGTGTTTTTCTTTGAATTCTCAACCAAACTCTCGTGCCGTTTGGGTTGTCTACACCCCTCCTTTGTCGGGACCTCTCGTGGGAGCTGGGGTTCCTCGAGATTTATGTTTCTTTCCCCGTTTCGCTCTCCGCTTCACCTGCACTCCTTCCAGGTGACTGTGGTGAGCTTTCACGAGGGGCAAAGTGCGACCCAGCAGCAGCAAGGGGGGGCGGATGGGAGTGCCAAAGCAGGCGGCGAGGCAGCAACGGGCGTGGAGAGCACGCGTGTGAATGTGACCATCCTGCCCTCTCCACCTGATCTCGTGCTCGCCAAAGACACGGTGCAGGTGTGTATTGAAGTGGTGCAGAGCGGTAGACTGCTGCAGGTGGGATGGGCTAATCTTATCTCATGTGGTGCTTGGTGAGGGGGCAGTGCAAGTGAGCGTGAGAGAGTGCAAAGGAGTGCAATTCGGTGCAAGTGAGTGCCCCATGTGTTTGTGCCACGTACCTCCGTGCTGTCTGTCTGCCATCAGTGAACCAGATGTTATACAGCACCCTTCCCCTCCTTTTCCCTTGCGCTTCCACCCCACTCTCCCACCCCTTTCTCTCCTTGCTCGCTCTCTCTTTCCCCTCACTTCTCGCCCACTGCAGTGAAAATGCTTTAGGTACCTGAAACCATGTCGTATGTGCTTGTCCCTAACCTTCTCACACCGTCCCGTCTCTCATCCCATATTCACAACTCTCTCTCCCTTTGGCGACTGCTCCTCTGTGCAGCGAGTGGTGAACGTGCTGCAGAGTCCCATGGCCATCAGGGATGTGTTTGGATCAGTCACAGTGCTACGTGTGCAAGTCGTGCTCAGTGCTCCTGATACGTCCAGGTGAGAGGCCGCATGGGAGGAACAAAGGCATGGGTGGATGAGAGAGGATGGATGGATGTGTCAGAATACTGAACGAGAATGAATGCATTGAACAGAAAGTTGGTACAAGAATTAACCCTAATTGGGTTGTACCCCTTATGGGCTACCCCACTACAGCCTACACAATATAAGCATGATAACATTTTGACAGGATGGGTGGTTGCGTGGAGGGAGGTATGGAGAGGCTTTGTTGTGTGAACTTCTACAATGGGAGATTCACAGAGTTGACAAGGAGGAAGCGGAAAGGGGTGGTAAACTCGGTCTCACATCCTCGTTTCTTCCCCGCTCGTCTTCCAAATATCCTCTTTTCACTAACACCCCCTCTTTTTCGTTCTTCTTTCATATTCGCTCCCTTTTCCTACCACTTTTTACTTTCTTCCCCGCTCGTCTTCCAAACATCGCAGCTCCCCTTTCGTCTGGGTGGGAGTGGGGGCTTTTGCGCTGGTGCTGCTTCTCCTGCTGGTGCTACTTGGGTGCTACTGCTGCAGAAAGCGATCGGATGGAATCAGTGCAAGGGTGGATGAAGTAGACGAGGAAGAAGGTTTGGCTAGTAACATTGATGGGAAGGGAAATGATCCTGGGAACGGGGATATGGAAGGGGATGGAGAGAGTGGGAAGGGTGGGAAGGTGGGTGTGTTTGGGAGTGGGAAGGTGCAGGGTGGGTCGGGGGAGGAGGTATCGATGTTGAATGGGGAGGGGCATGGGGAGGGTGAGGGGGATGGAGAGGAGGAAGGAGAGAAGGTGACGATTCTGCAGCAAAGGGAGCCTAGTGCTCCTCACTAGTAAAAGTTTTGTTATGACTTGACGACTTCTCTAGGGAGTGGCTTACGTTGTTTATGGGGACTTTTGAGTTGCTTGGAGTGCCTTGTTATGTTCGTTTTTGGTGATTCCTGCCTGAGACACATGCAATGCTAACTTGGTTGACCGGTGAGGTGGTGCTAGTGATTGGAGTTGGATGTAGACGGTTGCCTCTTACCACTTTGCACTTGTTGTAGACTACTATGTTCGTTTGAAGCTATGTTCGTATGGGAACACTTTTTGCCTCTACAACAAGTGAACTACTTGCCAGTGAACTACTTATGAAGCTATGTTCGTATGGGAACACTAGGTGTGAAACGCTATTCTGGAAGTGGCCTTTCAACCAATCAGGTTTCTCCCGCTGCTCTCCCGCCCGCGGCGAACTCAAGGGATCTTCTGCCATTGCCTGCCTCCCCAAACCCCTCGCTTCGCTCTCCCCACACCGCGGCATTCTTCCTTCCTTTCCGCTTCCGCCTGCCACTATGCGCGCCGAACATAAAGCACAGCAGGATCACCAAATCGCTTCATCGTTGTATCCCATCGATTGGCATTTTTCTGACAGGTTGTCTCCTAGGAGGACTTCAGACTTGCGTCCCGCTTGTTTGAAGGTCATCAGTAGCCACCCTGAATAGTGCGTCGCTGGATTAGTTCTGCTAAGTGGTGTTTCCGCATTGTAGGGAGTGGTGGTTCAGTGAATTGAAGTTGTGAGCCTGCTACTAACTGGACCGCGGATTACAAAATTTTTTTGTTTTAGTTCTTATCCTTATCCTTTTTGTAAGAGATCGCTTCTAGGTTTTGTTTTCCTCTCCGCCGTCGCGATGAGCGGCGCTGCAAAAATCGAGAAGGCGAAGCCGACGTTTCGACTGCTGCAAGTGCATCCACGTACGTATGGCTAGATCATCATGGTCCATTCTTCCGAGGCTCTATAGACTTGGCTTTACCTGGCTTAGCGTCTAGTCCCTGCTCGTGGCTGAAAATTCTTAAATGCCTCTTTCTGCCCAGCCAAATGTTCGTACGCGTCAGCACGTGTCGCGGTCTACAGTCCCGTGTCGCGGTCTACAGTCCCGTGTCGCGGTCTACAGTCCCGTGTCGCCTTCTGAATCGCCTTCTAAGCTGCCTCCACGTGTCACTCCATTAGGGTGTCCGCCACTTGTCAAATCACCTCCTCTTCCTCTTCAAACCAGCCAGACCTGGCCGCATATCGTCCCTTCCACATAAGGTTCAGCATTATGCAATGTATGTGCCCTTCCCCCGCGCCCTTCTGCCCCCATCCTTTCCGCCAGGCCGCAAGGAGATATCCGGGTCCGCGGACATTCTCCGCCAGGCGGGGCTGGAGGGGCCCTACCAGGTGCTATGCGAGCGCGCGCTTGCGCCGTCCGCGGTGGAATCGGGGTGCCTTGCGCGGATCCCCGGGGAGGTGGACATCCGCCAAGGCCCGCGGATGGAGCTGGCGGAAGTGCTAGACTCGATCGGCCGCCCCGCGGACGACGGCGCGGGGGAGGGTGGCGGGGGGGGAGCTGGGGAGGGTTTGTCGCTGCTGCAACCGCTAGCAGTGGATATGCTGCTGCGCGCATTCTCGTTCAGTGACAAAGCAGCAATCGCTCTGCCCGATGTGAGTTGCGGTTGGGTGTGGCGTAGTGCGGTGCATGCCGAGTGCCGAGGGTGCTAAGTGGTAAGCGGGTGATTGCCTTGGGCAAATTAGGCGTACGGCGGGGCATTGAGTGCGCGAGTTGGGCAAGTGGGGAAGGAGCGGAAAGGCAGTGGGCGGAGGTGGGCGGAGGTGGGCGGAGGTGGGCGGAGGTGGGCGGAGGCGGACTGTTTGCTGCTAAAAGGGTTGAGGGCAATGCTGGGATGAAGGGGGAGTATGACGGGGGTGGGGGCAGAGTTGGTGCCTTGCCTTATCTTCTTTTGCCTTGCCTTATCTTCAATGGCTGCTTTACTGAGAACCCACCTCTCCGAGCCATGTTCCTCCCTTGCTGCTCCTTCTGCTTCCCTTGCTGCTCTCTCTGCTTCCCTTGCTGCTCTCTCTGCTTCCCTTGCTGCTCCCGCTGCTTCCCTTGCTGCTTCGTCTGCTTCCCTTCCTCCCTGCGCTTTCCTTGCTCTCTTGTATGCGGTTGGGATTCGTACAGACGGAACGAGGGAAGGCGACGGTGAGTAGCAATTGGCGGGGTGCAAATGGCAGTAGAGGCGCTGGCGGCAAGGAGAGGGAGAGAGAGCGAGAAAGGGACTCCAGTAGACACAGGAGTAAAGACAAGTCGAGAGACGGGGAGAGGCGGCATAAAGAGAAGGATAGGGAGAAGAAGGAGAAGGATAGGAAGGATAAGGAGAAGAAGGAGAGGGAGAGGAGGGAGAGGAAGGAGAGGGAGGAGGCGGAGAGGAGGGAGAAGGAGAAAGCAGAAGGGGTGAGGGTGAAAGGGGATGAGAGGGAGAGGAAGGAGAGGGAAGCGAGGGAAAAGAGGGAGAGAGAAGAGCGGGAGAGAAAGGAGAGGGAGGAGCGGGAGGGTAAGGAGAAGGAGGAGAGGGAGAGGAAGGTACGGGAGGAAAAGGAGAAAGAACGTGCAAAAGAAAGGGAGAGAGAAAAAGAGAAGGAGAGGGAACGGGACCGTGAGAGAGTGAAGGAGAAAGAGAGGAAGGAGAAGGAGGTTGAGAAGATCAGGGAAGCAGGCAAACAGCGAATGGAGAAATCAGTGGAAGGAGCTGCTGCTGCTGCTGCTGCTGCTGCTGCTGCAGCTGCTGCTGGTTCTGGAGCTGGTGCTTCTGCTGCTGCTGGTGCTGCTGGTGCAGGTCTTGGTGGTGGTGGTGCTGGTGGAATGCCAGCAGCAGGAGCAGCAGGATTAGCTGCAGCAGCAGCAGGAGGGGAGGGCGTGGATCCAAAGAAGCTGAAAAAGAAGGTCAGTTTTCCATATCCTGCCATACTGCCATGCCGCCATGCTACCCATGCCATCGACCATGCCCAATGCCCTGTGTGCATGTGCTGAGTTGCATCCTTGCCTTTCCCCTCAGCGAGTTGTGTCTCTGCGGCATTCTTGTCCACCACTCGTGGTGCCATCCCCTCCCTTTCATTCCGCGTGCTCGCATCTTCCTTCCACTACTCGTACATCCTTTTGAGCCGCCACAAAAGTCGCCATATGCTGCCGTGCAAGTCCCCCCTCATTCTCCTCCCTCCGCATTCCTTCCTCATCCCCTCATCCCCTCATCCGCCCCCCCCTCATCCAATCCTCTTTGGCTCTCCCTTAACCGTCACTCCATTTGTCCCCCATCGGCCCTCACTTGTCCCCCGTCGGCCCTCACTTGTCCCCCGTCGGCCCTCACTTGTCCCCCGTCGGCCCTCACTTGTCCCCCGTCGGCCCTCACTTGTCCCCCGTCGGCCCTCACTTGTCCCGCGTCGGCCCTCACTTGTCCCCCGTCGGCCCTCACTTGTCCCCCGTCGGCCCTCACTTGTCCCCCGTCGGCCCTCACTTGTCCCCCGTCGGCCCTCACTTGTCCCCCGTCGGCCCTCACTTGTCCCCCGTTGGCCCTCACTTCTCCCCCGTCGGCCCTCACTTGTCCCCCGTCGGCCCTCACTTGTCCCCCGTCGGCCCTCACTTGTCCCCCGTCGGCCCTCACTTGTCCCCCGTCGGCCCTCACTTGTCCCCCGTCGGCCCTCACTTGTCCCCCGTTGGCCCTCACTTGTCCCCCGTCGGCCCTCACTTGTCCCCCGTCGGCCCTCACTTGTCCCCCGTCGGCCCTCACTTGTCCCCCGTCGGCCCTCACTTGTCCTTGTCCTTCCTCATTCGCCTCCCTCATCTCTTCCCCGCTGCATCTTCTCGCAACTGCTCGCTCAGAAGCGGAAGAGGGATGGCGAGCCGGAGAAGCCTGGCTCAGACAAGAAGCACAAGAAGAAGGTGATGAGGGGTGAACGGGGGTGAGGAGGGGTGGAGCAAGGGGAGAAGATGTGGAGGAGGGTTAGCAGCCTTATGTGAAGACAATGGAATGATGTTGTGTTCCTGTGCATTGAGTTAGACGTCTCTAATTTCTAATTGCTGTGATTCTTGGTGTTTCGTTGTAGGTGGGTGTTTCTGCGTTGCCTGTGTTACTGTGCATGTAATTGTGTGGTTTCTTGTGTGTTTCTTTTGGCATGTCTCACTATCTGCACAAGCGTAAGTTGTTAGTGTGTGTGTGTTTCTGTGTGACTGTGTGCGACTGCATGTGACTGTTGGTGGCTGTGTGTGAATGTTTGACTATGTGTGACTGTATGTGACTGTATCTAACTGTATGTGACTATGTGATTGTGTTTGACTGTTTGTGACTCGTGACGCTGTGTTACTGTATGTGCTGTATGTATCGTTGCAAGAGCAGAAGGACAAGCACAGCAGCGGAGGAGGCAAGGAGGCAGCACCAGCAGTGGTAGTTCAGGAGAATGGCACATAGCCATATAAAGGGTGAGTGGATGAAGGGTCAGCGGATGAGGGTTGGATGGGTGGGTGAGGGGCATATGATTTTATAGTTGTTGAATGGATGGTGAGTAGAGGAATGGAGGGTGGGGTGGTTGGGGTGGTTGGGATGGAGAAGAGACTGACTCTATCAAGGAGCAGAATCATCACCATTATAACCATCGTGGTCGTTACTGTCAAAAGCATCATGTAATTGTCAATCATCGTGATCATAAGCATCATCACGATTCACCATGTGAATGATTATCATCATACCTACTCATGATTATTATCACCACCACCACGATCACCATCCCCATCGCAATATTCCCACCAACATGTGGCAGGGAACCAGCAACTTTCAGACCCCGTGTTCCACCCCTCTGGTTTCTGCAAGTTGTCCCTTTCTCACATGCTAACCCCCCATTCTGCCTCGCATTACATGGTGAAGAGCTACTTCCAGGTTACCGTCAGCCCCCGGATAGAAGCACCCATCGGGGTATAAAAAAACAATGTTTTTTAGGGGGTGCGCTTATAATCGAGGATTTTTATAAGCGCCGGCGCTTATATAATGACATTTATGAAATGCGTATTTCTTACACCAAATTGTAGATCACGTTCTTGCAATTTGAATCGAGTCGAAACTATACAGGGCTGGAATTGAGAATCTCGCGCCAGTTGGCAGGGAGTGATTTCCTGCCAACACACACAGTCAGAATGAGTCAACTTACGCTGCCGACAGCTCATTCTGACTGGACGCGCAGGCAATGAGCCGAGCGAGGTGAAGGGCATCGAAGTTCAATAATGTGGGAATGGAAAATGTGAGTTTCGTTACAACGATTTCAGCACAATTATAGCAAAAGCAAACAGAGGGTGGCGCTTATAATCCGTAAGCCTTCAGGGGTGGGCTTATAAGCGCTGTCATCCTTTTATAAGCGTCGGCGCTTATCCGAGGCCTGCGCTTATATCCGGGGGCTTACGGTACCAGCCAGGGCCTATGTTTGGTTTTTTGCTACTCACGATTAGCAGTGTAGCCTTTTTCAAAACCCTTCTGAGCAGTGTGCTCTTTTGGAAACACTGATGGATCAGTGTAACTTGAACTTTTGAAAACTTTACCCAGAGGCATCAGTGTAGGTACCGTCTATTCCCGGATATAAGACCCTCCGGAATAAAAGTCCCATGGGGCTTATATGCGGGGGGGTGTACGCTTAATATGGTCGAATCTGTGAGGACCCCCCTTTTCACCCCAGCGATTATAAGACCCCCCTAGGTCCCGAATTACTGGTTATGACGGTTTTTTTGTACCGGTAATACATTTCAGCAAGGACCAAGATTTAGGGTAGGTGACAAATCACATTCATGTTAACCTACGAACGCCAGATTCAGTACTACATACCGGTAGCTCCCCACAAGTTGTGACTGCACATTCTGTTCAAGCTACCGCTACCAGACTAATCATCCCACTCATCGTGGGCTGTGGGGTCATCCTCAGATGCCTCGCCTTCCTCATCAACATCAGATGCATCGGCAGCCTCCATAGGGTCGGGCTGCGGGGCGGCGTAGAGTGGGTTGATCCACTCTTCCACCTCTGCAGCTGCATTCACGTCGTCCGCCACCTCGACCTCCGCCGCATCACGCATGTGGGCGAGGATGAGGTGGTCCTCGCGGCCGTCGGGGCTGTTTGTGATGCCACACGTTTTGAAGGCCCTCACAATGAGACCCTCTGGCACCGCAGCCCAGGAATCCGCGATCCACTGGAGGATGAGCTCAGCCGGTGGCTTGCGGAGATTTCCTGCGGTGATCGGGGTGGACAGGGTGATAGAGAAGCAGTCGTGAGTGCTTGCATGACATCAACACAAACATTCACACGAACATAAAAAAACGCCTGCCGTCTACGAGGTGTACCTTTAGGGGTGAGGGAGTTGATTCCCTCACTTGCAAACCACTCGTTGTAGCGTTTGCGCATGCCGGCCTTGAAGCTCCGGTTGATGCTCACGTCGAGCGGCTGCACCAACGGTGTGCAGCCGCCTGGAATGATGGCAGGCGTCACGCCGTTCCAGCGCAACAACCCCAGCACAGCATCGGTAAGGTGACCCCTGTAGGAGTCAAGCACGAGAAGCGAGCGGCTCCGGTTGATACCTGCGGGGGGGCGCACAAATGGGAGCAGAACGTGCTGCACCCAGTCCTGCACAAGGGCGGCATCCATCCACCCACGCTGTTGTGCACGGACAAGGATGCCTGCACACGCGAACAACGATAGGGGCGTTAGCAAGACATAGCCTCACAGGGGGTAAACAGTTTGAATGAGAGACAAGACTTACCTTCCAGAATCCGGATGTTGGGCACCGTCTTGCGCTTAAAAATCGCCATCGGCTTCAACTTCGCGCCCATGCCCGACACCCCCAGCATCACGGTAAGTCTCTCCTTCTCGTATCCCGCACTGCGAATGTGGACGGTCTTCTCGCCGCGGTGGTGAAGAGTCCTCTCCTGTGGCATCTCCAAGAACACGGGTGTCTGGTCCGCGTTGACGATGTTCCACGGATCAATCCCGTGGCATGTCACTTGCTTCCGGACAAACGCCCAGAAGCTCTTGCATTTGTCCTTGCAGTCTGCTCATAGAACATGGTTGCGAGTAAGAACGGTGTGTTGAGACCGAAGTACTAAAGAAATCTCGTAAGTGGCTCACCTTTTGCAAGCCTCTGACCGACTTTGGTCTTCACTCTCATCGTAAGGCCCCACCGCCCACGGAACCGCATGCACCAGCGAATCGACGCACGCCAATCCACGTCGGGGTGGTGACGCTTCATGTACGTGGAGCTCCACGTCTGGAGGAGACGGTTGGGAACGGCTAGGCCGCGGGATCTGAAGGAGAGGAAGCTGCGGTACCCGCTAAGCTCCATGTTAGGGAATATAGCATGCCTCCCGCCGCCGACGAGCCGCCGGCGGCACCCTGCCGCCGTCTTCATCTAATCGGCGCTCTTGATCCAACGACGCACACTAATCGGTTGGACGCTGGCGAGGCGAGCGGTTGCTCGAATTGTGAGCTGCTCGTCCTTCATCCGCATCAGGAATCCCAGCTTTTCCGCCATCGTGCGTGCTTTCCGTTTGTGTTGCGTAACACGGTGGCGAGGCGACGGCGGAAGTGCTTCACGATTGCCTGCGGGGCTCTCCTCGTTATGAACGAGATCATCTGGGAAACGGGGAAGAGGGTAGTTCGGAGCAGGGTTAGACTCCGAAGGCGTTAGCGGTTCATCGCCAGCAAGATCGTCATCGTTGACAGGCTCGAAGAAGGGCAGAATTACAACAGGGGGCGCTGGAGGCGCTGGAGGCGCTGGAGGCGCCGGAGGAGTCGGCGGTGCAGGTGGCGCTGGTGGCGCGGGCGGAGCTGGCGGTGATATAACGAGAGGGATCGCATGAAGGGCAGGGTTCGGACGCGGTGATCTTGGCCTACCGGTACTACCTCTGGCACGGGACTGCATGAGAATGTTCAACGATGACATGGTGCCAACTGCTCGTGGGTTTGCTATGAGTGATTGCCATATAGATGGCTGGTTTTAAGGCTACGAAACCGGTGAGTGAAATGCAGAGCAGAAGATGAGACTCGTACCCCGTTGATTCCTGACTGATGAGAGACGTGGAGGAGAAGGTCACCACACCACGACTCTACACCCAGAGGCACTTCTCGTGGCGCTGGTTAGAGGCTAGCGACTGTATGACGGGTCGTGACTGTGGGAGGTGCCTGCATCGTGCTGGCAGGCGATAAGGCCGAACGCCTCGTAGTGAGATGTGCAAGATGTGCACATCGAGGCACTTCTGCGTGACTCAGCGATTTCGCGCATCCTCGACGTAAGACCACGTTTTTTCCAAATAAGAGACCCCCCCGACCATTTAAATAGGCATTGTAAATCAATGTTCAGCGTTATCTAAGTGTTTAAGGGTCTTTTCTATTTCCAACCACCATGATGTTCACCCAACCATTTTAGATTGAATTTTTATAAAGTCCCCCGGGTCTTATATCCGGGAATAGATGGTATATTTTTTACCCTGATTGTAATGTAGGCAGCTCAGTATGTGCTGGCAGCAACCAGGCTCGAGGCCCAAATTGGGCGCTGGTGGGTGGGGGTTGTGAACTCAAAAGTTGAGCGCAGTGGCTTGTCTGGTTTCGCTGCAACACTTGTTTTTTCGCCGAGTCAGCAAGCTTCAGGGGGGGAACGTGGGTTTGGGGACCTCGAGTCCCAAATTTCCGAGTCAAGAAAGTTAAAGTTTTTGCAGTGAGTGCAGATTTGACCAATCAGGTTGCATCGCCTCTACAGTAGGTTGCACGCAGACATGGAGTGACGCGGTGTCGGTTGTCAGTACTCACGTGCTGGCGTCGTAATGCATCATTACGAAATTGAGTGTATCGCTACGAAATTTCTAGGAAACTTCGTCTCGATAAGTAGAGTTTCGAGGGGGGGGTGCCCTGTACGCCCTTAAGGGTAATCTTCGCTAAGGTAAAATTTACCCCAGAGCATCAGTGTGGCCTAAATCGTTTCACTGTCAAATCAGTGTAACACTAATCCCAAAAAAAAATTCCCAAACACATCAGTGTAGGCCCTAAATTTCACCCTTCTCATCAGTATAGCAATGTGATTTACACTGATAAAATAGGCTCCTTCCGCCCTAGTCGTCTCGCTGGGCAGCGCATGGTGTCTGCCTTCACGCTCAGTTACGACTGCTATTGTTGTATGCATTGTCCTCTTTAATGCTTACTGCAATTCCAAAAAAAAAAAAAAAAAAAAAAAAAAAAACTGATAAAATAGGCCCTGGTACCAGCCAACAACACATTCTAGTAGTTTGTTATAAGAGAATGCTGACAGCCTTCTTCCTTGGAAACCAGCATTACATGCATGTTAATGATAGTGCCATTTTTAGCAGTTGGGGTCCCTTTCCTTTAACATTGGGCTTGTTGCTACAAACTTGGGCAAGGCAATTGGGACCCAAAAATTGTATGACAAGCTGATTAATGTGACCCGTCAATACTGGAAGGAAAAGGCTAGGAGAAATACTGGTGCAACCTTTTCCTAAAAACCTTGCCAATGTGTACGGTGTAGGTATTGTTTTCCTATGATGTGAACTCTGGAGGTGTACAAGTACAGTTAATTGTTTGAAATTGTAAGGAAATTTCCTTTTCCTTACGTCGCATCTTTGCGTAATGCGTACATTACTGTTCTCACCACACTCGGCATCGTTACCACTCGCGACCCTCGCTTCGACAATCTTCCCGCCACTTCGCACGTCGCAACCTAGCCTCCCGGCTCGGCTGGTAACCCGCGCTTCGGGCCTCTGCTTCGACACTTTCCCAACCTCAGTCCCGACCTCATTCACAGGCCCGTCGCGCGTCAACCACAGTCTGTTACCATAACCACTGTGGCCTTCGCTATTTAGTTCTCGCTCATTCATTCGCTCATTGTATTGTTTTGCTTCGATAGTGCAATTATCGCTCGCTTGCTCGATTGCACTCGTGACACTTGGTATTCAGAGCCTACGATCTTCTCTCGGACCGCACCCACACCTTCGCTTCCCCACTATCTCAAAAAAAAAAAAAAAAAAAAAAAAGGGGGGGGGGGGGGGGGGGGGGGGGTGTTAGACGTCTCTCAGCGAACAAGCACCGCCGCTCGAAGTGCTCTCTCGTAAGCATGCTCCCGCTGAGCTTGCCCGACACCCCCGCCATGGCTGAATATAATGTCGCGACATTTATGCAGGAGCAGCTCAACCGCCTCATGAGCCAACTCGAGAATTCGGCTCTCGAAGGCTCGACGCTCACGGCGGAACTCGACGCCGCCCGCCGACAGTCAGCAACAAACGCACATGCACCAACACCAACACCTGCAAATGTACCTGCACAAACGGACGAGCCGATCGTCATTTCGTCCGGCACACCGTCGCAGCACGACAGCGTAGGACACCTGTCAGAATCCCAACCACTACACCATTGGGATAAAAGGGCTTGTTGAGTAGCGGGTCAGTGCGCCCATAACCCCCCAGGACAACGAGCCTGTAACCCTGTTAGAATAGTGAACGAATGAATGCGTGAACTAGCAAGCAGGTGGGTACACGTAGGAAACATAAAAGTGTTGTACCCTATATGAACTACCCCACTACAGCCTAGATAGACTATAGCATATAAGTTTGACACACCCCCATAGGCAAAGTGGGGGAGAACAAGTGGTCACAAGACCAGTCAAGAAAGGCAAAGCAAGCTCAGGGTGGATCACAAAGTCACCACGCAGTCTGAGCACAAGCAAATGGTCACAAGGCCAGTTCACATGCATGTGAAAAGGAGAACGCGAATGAATGAACTATGAATGAAGTGAGTACATATAGGAAAACCTAATTGGGTTGTACCCCTTATGGGATACCCCACTATAGCCTACACAACAGCATAAGCTATATAATGTTCTGACACACCCCCATAGGCAAAGTGGGGGAGAACAAGGGGTCACAAGACCAGTCACGCAAAGCACAGCAAGCTCAGGGTGGATCACAAAGTCACCACACAGTCCGAGCACAACGACAAGGCCACAAGGCCAGTTCACATGCAGGAGGACACATATATATATAAAGCTAGACAAGCAAGAGCAGGTATATATATGTGACAGTACAAGCAAGGTCAAGAGGAGAGCAAGTGAGGCAAGACAGGTACAAGACCCAACTGAGTGTAGAAGCGCTGATGGTCACAAGGCGCAAGTGCCTTGGTGAACACATCAGCAGTGTTGGCCTCAGAGGCCACGTACGCAAGTCGCAACTGACCACGCTGCTGCAGCTCACGAGCAAGAAAGTAACGGAGAGCAATGTGCTTCGTTCTGTGCTCCAAGCGCTGCTCTCGACACAAGGCCAGCATGGCCTTGTTGTCTACGTACAGCACTGGAGGAGAACGAGGCTGCTCTCCAAGGTCAGTCAGCAGGTAGGTGAGCCAGCGAAGCTCCTGTGCAGCCATGGCCCCGGCGTAGATCTCAGCCTCACAACTGGAGCCGAGAACAGAGGACGAGCGAGTAGCCCGCCACGAGACAGAGCCGGAACCAAGACTGAAGGTGTAACCCTGCGACGACCGCTGCGTAGCCTCGTCGTCAGCCCAAGAAGCGTCCGCGTGCCCAGTGAGGACCACTGGACTCCGCCCTCCAAGCACTAGCCCCATGCCCGACGTACTGCACAAGTAGCGCAACACCCTCTTCGCTGCAGCCATGTGCTCTGGTCGGTGTCTCCCAGGAGCAACATAGCGTGCAAGAATGCTAAGAGGGTATGCAAGGTCAGGTCGTGTGCAGGTCATCAGGTACATGAGGCAGCCAACAAGCTCTGGGTACGGGCCACTCGACTCTACGGACTCATCCGAAGGCAGAGCTGAGAGCGAGTGGCGAGTAGACAGAGGAGTGGCCTGAGGCGAGGAGTACGTGAAGCCGAAGCGCTGAAGGACCTGCTGCACCATGTGTGACTGAGTCAAGGTAATGGTGCGGCGTGCTCTGTCCCGAGTGATCTGCAAGCCAAGGTAGCTGCGCAGTTCACCCAGGTCTGTGCACGTGTGTCTCTTCTGCAGCTCGGACTTCACGTAGGCTAGTCCAGCAGTGTCAGCTGTGGCAAAGACCAAGTCGTCGACGTACACGAGGATGTAGAACGGCGGCAAAGAAGTGTCGGTGCGCAGAAACAACGACGGGTCAGCAGTAGAGGGAGCAAACCCAAGAGCCGCAAGCGTAGTCCTCAGTGTGTCGTGCCACTCACGCGGTGCCTGGCGGAGACCGTAGACAGGCCGTCGGAGGCTCCACTGGGTGCCAGGAGGGAAAGTCCCAGTGAAGCCAGGTGGACGGCGCAGCCAGATCTCCTCGTGCAGGCTACCCTGCAAGAAAGCAGTGCTGAAGTCAAGAGA